CACTATGTAACCCAGGCTGGAATGCCATGGCACAACAGTCTTGAGCTCCTGGGCTGTGACAGTTGTTCTGCCTCAGTCTTGCATGTAGCTGGGATTACAGGCTTGTGCCGCCACACCAGGCTAATATTTTGATTTTCTATAGAAACGAGTTCTTGCTATAACATATTTCCTAAACTGGTCTTCAACCACTGGGCTCAGGCCATTCTTGTGTCTTGGCATCCCAAAGTGCTGGTATTATATGCATGAGCCACATCTAGCTGATAGTGTCTTATTTAAGTTAACATTATGTCCAAAATATTTATCCTTACTGTAGCACAAGATTTACTCTAATGGTGAATAAAAGTCTACTGTTTGTATATATACTCCATTGTCACTATCCAGTTATTAAGGAATATTTAGGTTGCTTCCACCTTTTGTGGATAATGTCACAATAAACACGGGTGTGCAAGTATGTCTTTCAGGTTCTGCTTTGGATACTTTGGGTAGATAGCCAGAAGTAGAATTGCTGGGTGATAGGGTAAATTTATTTTAAATTTTCTGAGTAATTTTCATATTACTTTTCAGACTGACTGCATCTTTTTTTTTTTTCTGAGCAACAGTACATAAGCATTCCACATTCTCAACATTTGCTATTTTATTTATTTGATCATGGTCTTCCTAATGGGTGTGAGGTTGCACATCATTGTGCTTTTGCTTTGCATTTCTCTCTGCAATTTTCAATTTGAATATCTTTTTTTTTTGAGTTGGAGTCTCATTCTGTCCCCCAGACTGGAGTGCAGTGGCAGCTACCGGCCACTGCAGCCTCGACCCGCTGGGCTCTGGCGATCCTTCCACCTCAGCCTTCCGAGTAGCTGAACTACAGGCGCGCGCTAACACGCCCGGCTAGTGTTTTATTTTACTGTAGAGATGAGGTCTCACCAAGTTGCCCAGAGAGGTCTCGAACCCACAGGCTCAGGCAATCCATTCACCTCAGCCTCCCAAGATGCGGGATTACAGGCTGAGCCACCGAGCACGGTTCTTTAAAGATTTTAGCATGAACTAAGGCACATATTTTGAACAAAGGTCATTCCACATTCAATACATTTTAGAAGTTCCCTCCGATGCAAATTTTCTAATGTCAAAGTTTTAGATACAGTTGAAGAATTTAGACAGTGCTTACACTTCTACATTTTAAGGATCTATGGAATAAATAAAGGCAATGTACTATTTTTAACATCGGTAAAACTTTTCTCCATAGGTCTTCTATGGCTTGTAATTTGAGAAATGTGTTTCCATAGTCATTACAGGCATAGGGAATTTATCGTGTATCTATTCCCTCCCTTATGTTGAGAAGAGTGGAGCAACAGTGAAAGGTTTCCCACATTCTTTGTATATAAGTCTTCTCTCCAGTGTGGATTCTCTGATGTGGAATAAGATGTAATTACTTATTGAGGGCTTTCCTCAGATTCTTCACATTTGTAGGATCACATTCCAATATGGATCCACATATGTCCAGCAAGTTGTGAAAACTTTGTCACATCATTCACATTTGTATGGTTTCTCTCTTGTATGGATTATCCTATGTCTAGCACATGGTGAATAAAAATGATAGGCTTTGCCACATTCTTTACTCTTGTAAGGTTTCTCTCCAGTTTGGATTATTTGATGTAAAGATTGAGTAATATGTAGAGGTTTTGCCACATTATGCACATTTGTAGGGTTTCTCTCTAGTATGGATTCTCCGACTAAATGAAAGTCTTTGCCACATTCTTTACATTTGTAGGGTTTTTCTTCAATATGGATCCTCCTATGTCCATAAAGTCCTAAATGAGACCAATAGGCTTTGCCACATTCTTGACATATGTAGGGTTTATCTCCTGTATGGATCTTTGTATGTTGAGTAAGAAATGAATGAAAGATAAAGACTTAGTCACATTTGCACATCTGCAAGGTTTCTCTTCAGCATGGATTCTCTGATGTTGAATAAACCTTGAGTACAAGTTAAAGGTTTTGTGACATTCTTCACATTTGTAGGATTTCTCTTCATTACAGGTCTTTCTAAGTTTAGCAAGTTCTGAATGAAAGAGAAAGGCTTTGCCACATTCTTCACACTGTAGGGATTCCCTCCCGTATAGATGGTCTTACGCCCAGCAAATCCATTATGAGAGCAAAAGGCTTTCCCACATTCTTCACATTTGTAGGGTTTCTCTCCTGTATGGATTTTTTAATGACTCTCTCGATTTGCTGAATTACAAAACACTTTTCCACATGTTTAAACTGTGAATTTTCTCTAACATTAAATTTCTGATGTTGACTACATTTTATGGAATAGTTAAAAGTTTTGCTATATTCATTATATTTGTAAGCCATTGTTGGAATATGGATACTCTGATGAATATTAAATTTGGAGCACCGAAAAAAGAACCTCTTCATCTTTGTTACAATTGTAATGACCATGTACAAAATAACATCCTCTTTGCCCTTCATCCTCATTCACACTTTTCCAATCTATCTCTAAGTGTAAATTCTTAAAGCGATATCTTCCATATGTCATCTATGTGAGTGACTCATCTGTGCTCTCCTCTGGCAAAAGGTCTTCATTGTTATGAGAATTTATTGCTAAAAATAATAAAAATAGCTGGTAACCCACATACTAGACTCAGGTGAAGATACAGTACAGATCTAACATAAAATTATACTATGCTAAAACAATACCAGGAAGGCAAAATATAAGTTGCATGTTCTCACTCATTTATAAATACATGGACTCAACAGAAAAGTTACTTCGAAGAGGAAGTTTGGTCACTTTCACCACCATAAACTCTTCCATCTCATTTCTTCCTTTTCAGGGAAGAAAGAAAACAGTGCAATGAGTTCACACTAGAATTTGGTGATTTACCCAATGATTATTTTCTTTCTTTTCTCACACAGAGTTAAGAAGAGGTGATATACTTTGCATGATAGGTTTAGTCTGTTGATACTGCAGACAATTACAACACTAGAGACTATAGTACCATAAACATTTCAGGTACAATTATGAGGTATTGAAAAGAAACATGGTCAAACTATATAATTGCAAAAGGAGATGCAAAATTCTAGAGAAGGCACATCATAAAAAGTGGTTTGAAAGTCCCTTAGAATCTCTAACATAGTGATTGGTGTCACAATTTACGTAGAGAAAGCAACTCCATAAAGATTATGACAGGTAGCTCTTTTTTAAAATCACAAAATGCCAAGAAACTATCACAAAGCATACAAAATCAGGGAGAGATGACTCAATTATAAAAGAACAGCAACAAGAATTCAAAAATCAACTGCAAAGAATTGGAGACAAACCAGGCTCGGTGGCCCAGTGTGTAATATCAGCACTTTGGGAAGCTGATGTGAGTAAATTGCCTGAGTTCGCAGGTTCGAGACCCGCCTGGGCAACTTGGTGAGACCTCATCTCTACAATAAATCAAAATTAGCTGGGCATGGCAGCGCATGCCTGTAGTTCCAGCTACTTGGAGGGCTGAGGTGGAAGGATCACCGGAGCCCAGCAGGTCAGGTCGAGGCTGCAGTGGCTGGGAGTGTGCCACTGCTCTCCAGGCTGGGTGACAGAGTGAGACTCTAACTCAAAAAAAAGAGAGAAAAAGAATTGGAGACTTAAATATTCCCAAAGAAATCAAAATAACCACCTTAACAAAGCTTTATAAGCTAAAAAAGAATACAGTTAACCAAAGAAAATCAGTAACAAGAATATCAACAGAGATAAATAATCTATTAAAAATACAGAATGGGCCGAACTTGGTGGCTCAGTCTGTAATCCCAGGACTTTGGGAGGCCAAAGTGAGTGGATTGCCTGAGCCCACAGGATTAAGACCCACCCAGGCAACTTGGTGAGACCTCATCTCTACAATAAATCAAAAATTAGCTGGGCATAGTAGTGCACACCTATAGTTCCTGCTACTTGGAAGGCTGAGGCAGAAGGATTGTCAAAGCCCAGTGGGTTGAGACTGTGGTGGTCAGAAGCGTACCACTGCCCTCCAGTCTGGGCAATGGAGTGGGACTCCAACTAAAAAAAATGCAGAATGTCTAGAGAAAACAACACAAAAACAGTGTGAGAAATTCTAAAATGTCATAAAAAAAGAGAAAAATCAAGAAGTTTAACAAACTCAAACTAGAATAAACATAAACATACCCACAGTCAGACATGTTATCATAATTTTCAGCTGTGTGTGGTGGTTCATGCTTGTAATCCCAGCACATTGGGAGGCTTGCCTGAGCCAGGTGTTTGAGTCAAGCCTGGGCTCCATGGCAAGACTTACCTTTACAATAAATCAAAAAATTAGCTGGGCATAGGTGTGTTCCTGTAGTACCAGCTACTGTGAAGGCTGAGGCAGAAGGATCTCCAGAGTCTAGAAGGTCAAGGCTGCAGTAGCCATAATCACACCACTGCACTCCAGGCATGGTGACAGAGTCAGACTCTCAGTCAAAAATCTAAGACTTGAAAATCACAGAGATACATTTGTTAGCGTACTATTTTCTGCCCATGAACCCATGAGAAAATATCACTAAAATGTCTCTCCCCACCACCGTTATGCCTAATTCAGGGTCCTCTAAGGAGCCTGAACACTTATTATCAGAGGGGTGAGCTGAGCTTCAAAACCACCCATGAGAGCCTGAGGAACAGGGAATGCTTACAGACTGTGTGGTAATGAGAGGCTCAAACAAATGTTCCAGGGGCTTTGCGCTTGCCATGTATGACACTGTGGAGGAGGTGGACACAGCCATGAATATGAGGTGACAAAAGGTGGATGGAAGAGTTGTGGAGCCAAAGAGAGGTATCTTGAGTGAGGATTCTGGAAGACCAGGTAGCCACTTAACTGTGCAAAAGATATTTGTTGGTGGCATCAAAGACACTGAAGAACATCACCTAAGAGATTATTTTGAGGAATATGGCAAATCTGAAGTGATTGAAATCATAACTGACCAAGGCAGTGGGAAGAAAAGATTTGCCTTCATAACCTTTGAAGACCATCATGAATAAAATCGTCATTCAGAAACCCCACACTGTAAATGGTCACATGTGTGAAGAAAGGAAAGCCCTGTCAAATCAAGAGGTGGTCAGGGCTTCATTCTGCCAAAGAGGTCAATGTGGTTTTGGAAACTTCGGTGGTGGTCATGGCAGTGGTTTCAGTGGAAATGACAACTTAGGTTATGGAGGAAACTTTAGTGGTCATGGTGGCTTTGGAGTCAGCTTCGGTGGTGGTGGATATAATGGCAGTGAGGATGGCTATAATGGATTTGGTAATGATGAAAACCATTTTGAAGGTGGCAGAAGCTACAATGATTTTGGCAGTTGCAACAATCAGTTTTCAAATTTTGGACCCATGGAGGTGGGAAACTTTGGAGGAAGAAGCTCTGGCGCCTACAGTGGTGTAGGCCAGTACTTTGCCAAACCATGAAACCAAGGTGGCTATGGTGTTTTTTTGTTTGTTTTTTTTTTGAGTTGGAGTCTCACTCTGTCGCCCAGACTGGAGTGCAGTGGCCGCTCCTGGCCACCACAGCCTCGGCCTGCTGGGCCCCGGCGATCCTTCCGGCTTAGCCTTCCGAGTAGCTGAAACTACAGGCATGCACTACCATACCTGGCTGATTTTTTGATTTATTGTAGAGATAAGGTCTCGCCAAGTTGCCCAGGCGGGTCTTGAACCTGCAGGCTCAAGCAATCCACTCGCCTCAGGCTCCCAAAGCATGGGATTATAGGCTGAGCCACCAAACCCGGCTGGCTATGATGTTTTTATTAGTAGCGGCAACTGTGACATTGGCGGGTTTTAATTACTGCCAGAAAACAAGATTTTGCAGGAGAGAAGAGTCAGAGAAGTGACAGAGATGCTACAGGTTCCAACAGATTTGTGACCTCAGCCAAGTACAGTGGTGGCAGGGCCTAGGTATTACAAAGAAGACATGCTTAGACAATGCTCATGTGTTTTGGCAGAACACTTGGGGACTGTGTTCATGACTAATTGTATGACAGGTGACTTTAGTTTTTGTACTATGGAAGGTGTAAAGCATTCCAAGAAAGGGTTTTAAATGTAGATTTTTTTTGTTTCTGGCACCCATAATGTTGATTGCTAAATGTAATAGTCTGATCATGATACTGAATAAATGTGTCTTTTTTAAAAATGTGCCATGTCATGTTAGTCTACTCTGAAGCAATCTTGGTAAACTTCCCCAACAGTGTTGGAGTTAGAATTCCTTCATAGTGATGCCAGATTCTGTTGGAATTCATTTACAATCTGCTGGGTGGAGAAGCCATTTTCTTTTTGCAGAAACCTTGGTGTAGGTCCACTGACAGTTACTGTTGTGTCCCAAAATTCATGAGTAAAAGGGGTCACGCAAGCAAAATTGTGGAATTACTGGATATAAGGAAAAATGTGGGCAAATCCTATGTAATACATATAAACTGACTAATGGTACCAGACAAAATTATAGATGGGAGTGAAGCTTGTGTAACCATTATCAAGTGTAATCCAGAAACAGTTTGATTCTTTTGAAAAGAAAAAAATGAAATCACAGAAGAAAGATGCTTAAAGAAAGCAAGATAAAATTGATGGATCATGTATAAGTGTGCTCCAGTGTGACCATCAAGTGATTTCTCAGTACTGAGACCTCCCAGACCATAAGGGATTTGGGTTATATAGAAAACAAGCTGAAAAAATAAAAACTGGCAAGGCTCGGTGGCTCAGTCTATAACCCCAGCACTTTGTGAGGCCGAGGAGACTGGATTGCCTGAGCCTGTGGGTTTGAGACCCACTTAGGCAACTTAGCGAGACCTCATCTCTACAATAAATCAAAAAATAGATGGGCATGGTGGCATGCACCTTGGAAGGGTGAGGTGGAAGGATCACCGGAGCCCAGTAGGTCGAGGCTACAGTGGCAGGATGCTACAGCACTCCAGTCTGGGTGACAGAGTGAGACCCCAACTAAAAAAAAACCCCAAAAAACCAAAAACTACCAACCTAGAATATTAGATTTAGCCCAACTGTCCTTTAAAATGAAAAAAAAAAAAGATTTTAAGATAAACAAAAGCTAAAAAAGTTAATTGCTAGACATTCCATACAATAAATGTGAAAGAAAGTTTCTTTCATTGAATAGTAAACTAATTCTGAAAAGCATCACAAAATCAAAAGTATAGCATTTTGCAAATGGTACAAAAGGTTAAAAACACCCTGAAATAATCTTTTTGGATGCTGGACCTCTTGTTGTACAGTCTTCCATGGCTAAGTAAGTGTTCTTGAATTTTTTTTTTTTTTTGAGTTGGAGTCTCACTCTGTCGCCCAGACTGGAGTGCAGTGGCTGCTCCCGGCCACCGCA